CAGTACATACACGGCTCAAACAGCATCATATCAACATGCACTCATGCCTCCAATGTATCTCAAACATGAAAGCAGACAGGCACAATACATCACAATATTACCTCCTTTCTTTCTACTACACTTAAGCATGCCAAACAAGTGACTTAGGCTGAAACTTAAGCACCTTAAACACTCATAAATCCTAGCCTAAACATGTTACTAAAAATGATCAGCAACATAATTAAAACAAGCCAAAATGAGGTCAACACTTAAGCATGAAGTTCAAATATTTGCAACAGAAACTTAACTCATCTTTCAGCATAGATTAGCACATAAAAGAATAGGATTTCGACCAACATAAGTACAAAGGAGCTTAGCTATTATACCGCAAAAACAGAGAAATGAAAGGGCTCGGGTCTGAAAAGGGTTGTCTCTGTTGCTCGGGCCACTAAACGAAAGCCGACGGGGAGTGTTTCGACTGTCCGGGCCTGAACGAAGACCGACGGGGTGTACGGCGACTGCTGTGGCAAGCAGTTACGGGATTTCACGGCGAGCGAGGTGAAGGGACTTCTCGATGGAGCAGCGATAACCGAGAACAGGTGTTGGTCGTGCGAGAATGATCGCTGGCCGCGTTCGGGACTGTCGGGGGTTGCTCGACGGTGGCAATAACCTAACCTGCTGCTCGTTCGCGCCTGGGAGGAGTCGAAGTTTTCAGCCGTAACCAAAGGACGGGGCTGGGATGAAATTTCTCGGCGATGCTCGATTTGGCCTTGGATGGTGGTCGGGTGTTGCGAATTCAGGCCTCACGATGGCTCAGCAGCAGTTGGTCGGGACTCGTCGGAGGTTCGATCGCGACTGGGCGTTTGGGAAAAAGGTCGGCCGCTGCTGCTCAAGGTTCTATTTTGTTGTAGTGCTCGATAAATCGTCGAAAATAGTGGTGGATGGCGGTGACGGGGCTTGCGTCAGAATCCTTGCGGACGGCTTGCGATGCGACGGAGGACACGGTCAAACCGACAAGTTCAGGTGCTGCAATTTGCGCCGACGAGGAGAGTTGATTGAAGGATAAAGTCGGGTGGAAGATGATGAGAGAGGATGGATTTCGATGGCTGCGCGATTTTGGGCGAAATTTTGGTCGAGAGAGTGAGGGTTCTCAATCTGCCAACGCGACTCAAGGGAGAAGAAGTAATGGGCGGTTTTACAACATTTGGGCCTAGCTTTAGCAAATTGGGCCGACAAGTCTTCAAAATAACAGTTGGGCCGAGAATAAAAGAGCTTACTCAATGCTGGAAATACTTGCTAAGAGGGCCGATTAAAACTAAGGTTTATGGCCGGATATAAAATACTAACGGGCTAAAAATAAAATCTCAAGGTTCGAGGTTCGGGTTGAAACGACTCAGAAACGAGTTAACACGGATAAAGGTTCGATCGCACGGTAATTAAATTAAAATCAAATATATATATATATATATAAAGCACATAATCAATAATTATATAATAGCATTTAGATAATTAATATTA